TTAGTTAGTAGTTAGTTAGTTAGTAGTTAGTTAGTTAGTTAGTTAGTTAGTTAGTTAGTTAGTAGTTAGTTAGTGTAGTTAGTTAGTTAGTAGTTAGTTAGTTAGTTAGTTAGTTAGTTAGTTAGTTAGTTAGTTAGTTAGTTAGTTAGTTAGTAGTAGTTAGTTAGTTAGTAGTTAGTTAGTTAGTTAGTTAGTTAGTTAGTTAGTTAGTTAGTTAGTTAGTTAGTTAGTTAGTTAGTTAGTTAGTTAGTTAGTTAGTTAGTTAGTTAGTTAGTTAGTTAGTTAGTTAGTTAGTTAGTTAGTTAGTTAGTTAGTTAGTTAGTTAGTTGTAGTTAGTTAGTTGTTAGTAGTTAGTTAGTTAGTTAGTTAGTTAGTTAGTTAGTTAGTTAGTAGTTAGTTAGTTAGGTAGTTAGTTAGTTAGTTAGTTAGTTAGTTAGTTAGTTAGTTAGTTAGTTAGTTAGTTAGTAGTTAGTTAGTTAGTTAGTTAGTTAGTTAGTTAGTTAGTAGTTAGTTAGTTAGTTAGTTAGTTAGTTAGTTAGTAGTTAGTTATAGTTAGTTAGTAGTTAGTTAGTAGTTAGTTAGTTAGTTAGTTAGTTAGTTAGTTAGTAGTTAGTTAGTTAGTTAGTTAGGTTAGTTAGTTAGTTAGTAGTTAGTTAGTTAGTTAGTTAGTTAGTTAGTAGTTAGTAGTTAGTTAGTTAGTTAGTAGTTAGTTAGTTAGTTAGTTAGTTAGTTAGTTAGTTAGTTAGTTAGTTAGTTAGTTAGTTAGTTAGTTAGTTAGTTAGTTAGTTAGTTAGTTAGTTAGTTAGTTAGTAGTTAGTTAGTTAGTTCGTTAGTTAGTTAGTTAGTTAGTTAGTTCGTTAGTTAGTTAGTTAGTTAGTTTAGGTTAGTTAGTTAGTTAGTTAGTTAGTTAGTTAGTTAGGTAGTTAGTTAGTTAGTTAGTTAGTTAGTTAGTTAGTTTAGTTAGTTAGTAGTTAGTTAGTTAGTTAGTTAGTTAGTTAGTTAGTTAGTTAGTTAGTTAGTAGTTAGTTTAGTTAGTTAGTTAGTAGTTAGTTAGTTAGTTAGTTAGTTAGTAATAGTCACATTTGGTCATAAAAACCATGCAAAATTATGCTATTATGGACGCACTACAATAAACATGGTTTTAAATATTTTGGTTTCCCTGATCATTTCAGATTTTATTTCAAATTACTTCTGATTCGTTATCAATTCTTCGTGACATGAGATTGCAAATGGATATAGCAAACACATGTCACTGAAAATTTTTAACCTTAAAAAAGTATTGTAAACATATTAGGCGAGGGCATTCAAAAAAATGTTTTTTGCTTTTTCAAATCACTCGAAAACAGAGGCCTATTAACAATAAAATTGCATTAAAATAATTGGTACCAAATTAAAAATGTTCTCAATGTCAAGTAAGACATCAAATTTTACAACCTTATCGGAAGCTGATAAATAACTGCTTGCTACTTTTTTGGTGCTAAATGATAAGAATTCCATTATTTTTTTTTTTTCTTTCCAAAAAAGAAAGTTTTTGTTTTACTCTGTTTAATTTTTAATGGAAACTAAATAAATCCATTAAAAATAGTTGTTAAAAAAAAAACATTTTATATTCATTAAGTTAGTAAATGATATTAGCAAACATACAAAATGTTTCATATATAAGGTTTGATTTTGTATTCCAAAAATCAGACAGTTTAGCAAATAGCATCAGTAATATGAAGACTCTATTTGGTACGAAACCTCTATAGCCCAAAATTTACTTTAACCAATTTTATAAACAAACCCTTTTTATTTTTCTCTTATAGTTTTATCTTGTGTTTTGCTGGCATTGGCCGCTACCACTACTCAGGCGGCCAAATTAGATACCACCCTTTACGCTAAGTACCTGTGTCGTAATAAGCAAAACGGTTTCAAAGCTTTAGTACCGGGCAGCTGTTCTCAATATTATGAATGTCAAAATGGTGAATCTGAACTACGTGCTTGTCCCCGTTTCTTCGATTCCGTGAATCAAAAGTGTGTTACCAAAGATACTGGTTGTATGGAGACATTGGAAAATGAAGTAAATGTACCGGCTGGCTGTAGCGGTCCTTGTTGTGGAATCTCCAATGGTTACGCCTTAGATCCTATTAATCAACAGGTTTATTATGAATGCAAGGATAACTGTGTTGCCTCAAAGAACCTTTGTGAGGGTAATTTAATGTTCAATTTACAGACTCAGAAATGTAGTGCAGCTGAAAGCTGTGGTGAAGTTACAACACCAAAACCACCATGCACTACTACTACAAAGGCACCATGTACTGCAACAGAGAAACCTATTACTACAACTTGTACAACAACAATGACCACTTGCACTACAACAACAAAGCCCACTACTACACCAACAACCACTACAAAAACTACAACTACTAAAACTACAACAACAAAGACCACAACTACACCAACCACAACAACTACTACTTGTACTACAACAACAACCACAACTAGCACTACTACAAAAACCACCACTACTAAAACTACAACAACAAAGACTACGTCAACCACAACAACAACAACTTGTACCACTAGCACGACTACTTGCTCAACAACAACTACAACTTGCACTACTACAAAGCCAACCACTACAAAAACTACAACAACAAAGACCACTACAACACCAACAACAACAACTACTACTTGTTCAACAACCACCACAACTTGCACTACAACAACAATAACAACAACGAAAACAACCACCACAAAAACGACAACAACAAAGACAACTACAACACCAACCACAACAACAACTACTTGTACCACAACAACCACAACTTGCACTACTACAAAACCAACAACTACAAAAACTACCACCACTAAAACTTCTACAACACCAACCACAACAACTACTACATGTACCACAACAACGACTACTTGTTCAACAACCACCACAACTTGCACTACAACAACACCAAGCACAACGAAAACCACCACCACAAAAACTACAAAGACAACTACTACCCCAACCACAACAACAACTACTTGCACCACAACAACGACTACTTGCTCAACAACAACTACCACTTGCACTACTACAAAACCAACAACTACAAAAACTACCACCACTAAAACTACAACAACAAAGACCACTACAACACCAACCACAACAACAACTACTTGTACCACAGCAACGACTACTTGCTCAACAACAACCACAACTTGCACTACTACAACGACAAGCACAACGAAAACCACCACCACAAAAACTACAACAACAAAGACAACTACTACCCCAACCACAACAACAACTACTTGCACCACAACAACAACTACCACTTGCACTACTACAAAACCAACAACTACAAAAACTACCACCACTAAAACTACAACAACAAAGACCACTACAACACCAACCACAACAACAACTACTTGTACCACAACAACGACTACTTGCTCAACAACAACCACAACTTGCACTACTATAAAACCAACAACTACAAAAACTACCACCACTAAAACTACAACAACAAAGACCACTACAACACCAACCACAACAACTACTACATGTACCACAACAACGACTACCTGCTCAACAACAACTACAACTTGCACTACTACAAAACCAACAACTACAAAAACTACAACAACAAAGACAACTACAACCCCAACCACAACAACAACTACTTGCACCACAACAACGACTACTTGCTCAACAACAACTACAACCTGCACTACTACAAAACCAACAACTACAAAAACCACCACCACAAAAACTACAACAACAAAGATAACTACTACCCCAACCACAACAACAACTACTTGTACCACAACAACGACTACTTGCTCAACAACAACTACAACCTGCACTACTACAAAACCAACAACTACAAAAACTACCACCACTAAAACTACAACAACAAAAACAACCACTACACCAACCACAACAACAACTACTTGTACCACAACAACAACCACAACTTGCACTACTACAAAACCAACAACTACAAAAAGCACCACTACTAAAACTACAACTACAAAGACTACTACTACACCAACCACAACAACAACTACTTGCTCAACAACAACCACAACTTGCTCAACAACAACTACAAAAGCTCCTTGCAATGCAGTGACAACCACTACACCTCCTTGTCCCCTTGCCATTGATGCTGCACAAAGTCAATCCGAACCTGCTAAACTTCCCAGTAACAATATCGATTTGTACATACGCTTCGTGTGCCGTAACAAACCAGATGGCTTCAAATTGGTTTCGCCGAACAAATGCAATGATTTCTATGTCTGCAACAAAGGTGAAGCAATGTTTTTGAGTTGTGGCGATAATTACTATAATCCTTTGAAGGGCATTTGTGATTTGCCTGAAAATACCAATTGTCACTTGAGTCAATTCATTGCATAAATGTAATAATCAGAGTGTGACCTCTTTTTTTCGTTGGACTAAAGGATGCTGCCATTGAAATGATTAAAGATAAATTTGGGCTCAAATTGAATTAAATAAAAAAAAAAAATTTAAATAATAAAACGATATGAAGCAATAAAAGTAGTTTATGTATATTTTATTACATCTTAGGGATGCCAAACGGGACTGGCTTTTACAAATCCCGGGATTCGGGATTTTGAAAATTGCAATCCCGGGATCCCGGGATATTTCGGGATCCCGGGATTTTTCGGGATTTCGGGATTTTACGGGATTTCGGGATTACATAAATTTAATTATTTTATACATGAAAATCTGAAATCTTCATGTTTGTGAAAAAAATTGTTTAATCTTGTGAAAATTAATCGACAGAAGATAAATTATTTATTTTTCATAAAAAATTTGTTGAATTTTACCTTAATTCCGATGTATTTAAGCAATTTATTGATGAAAAACTAAATTTCTAAAAGAGGCTTTATATGGGAGCTAGGGTCAAATATGGGCCGATCCTCAAACATTTGGGAAGAGGCATGTAATTTTATATAAAGGTTAGTTATGCTGAATGTCATCGCGATACTAATGGTTATAAGTAAATTTTTGGACGTTTAAGATATTTTTTAATGGGGGCTAATGTTAAACGACGACTCAGAAAGCGATTCTGATTCGATCGGTATACTTTAAGGTGGGTGTAGGACCAATAGGTTATAATAAATATAACGTTCAATCCTTCGAATATCAGGTTAGATCATAAATGAACCTTTTCTTTGAAACATGTTATCTACATTCAGAACAATTTAATTTACCTTTACTGTTATCACTCAGATTTATAGAAAGCATTCCAGCAAAATTAAAACGAAGTACTTCCAAAAGTATACCATTTATCACCACTTTAAAAGTAGCACTAAGTGAATTTTTTAACCTTCTGAGGAAGTGATGTTTAAAGACTTCCGAAGATTGGAAAATAATTATATTTTTTCAAAGCTGAAGATATTTTTTTGTTCTTACATTCTTGGGAGATAAAACATTTTACTTTTCGGCTTCTGTTTTATTATATGTATCTATTACCCTTTATAGTTTTAAAATTATTTAAGGCAAATTAGTTGTATTCTATAATAATACAATTTCACTTTCGAATAACTTGCAAAAAATTATCATAAAAATTACTTCTTGAGAATGACTTCAGAAGTAGTAAATTTGGAATCAAATAAAAAGGACATCCCTCCTATGACAAGCCTGTGTTAAAATCATCACTTCTTCAGTTATTTTTCAGTACTTCCATGGAGTAAATTCTACTTCTTTTTCGCTTCTTTGGAAGTTCTTTTTTGCTGGGTTGTAAAGCAAAACATTCTAGATATCATTTAAAAATTTATTTTATATTTGACTGTGCCGAAATAAAATAAATAAATATTCCGGTATGTGATGGAATTCGAACAATTTGAAATCAATAGATTTGAAAAGGTATGATTAATTTCAATCGAGGAATGGTTTATTATTTCAAAATACTACGCAGACAACAAAATACTTTCCATTTAAGAGAATCAATTTAAAAAATATGATAATTTGTATGAAAAGCCGCAGAAATTGAATATTACACAATTTTTGTATTATTTTTGTAGATTCAAATCGATTCTATTTTAAAAATGAATCTCATTAAATAGCTGATTGGTCAATACATTAATATTAGCATCAAATTGGTTTTCAGAGGAGGTGCTTTTAGGATTTCTTGTGTTAATTTTGGTCCAAATTTATGTCTACTATAGACAAAGAATGTGTATACTTTTTGGGTCTACGACGAAATGAAAAAATAAATTTGTATGTACTATATTTGGTATCATACCACTTTAAAAAATAAAAGGTTCAAAATGTACAAGAATAGCTGTGCTGAATAAGTCAAAAATAAACAAAGATCGTAATTTTGAAGCGAATTGAATGAAATTATGGCTCAAAAAGAATTAAAAAAAATTTTTTAGTAATAAATCCCGGGATTCATTTTGAAAAATCCCGGGATTCGGGATATCCTAATCCCGAAAAAATCCCGGGATTTATTTTGCAAATCCCGGGATTCGGGATTTTCTAATCCCGAAAAATCCCGGGATTTTCGGGATCGGGATTTCGTGATTGGCATCCCTATTACATCTGTATCTTACATTCAGGGACAGAATTTTGATAACTAACTAACTAACTAACTAACTAACTAACTAACTAACTAACTACTAACTAACTACTAACTAACTAACTAACTAACTAACTACTAACTAACTAACTACTACTAACTAACTAACTACTAACTAACTAACTAACTACTAACTAACTAACTAACTAACTAACTAACTAACTAACTAACTAACTAACTAACTAACTAACTAACTAACTAACTAACTAACTACTAACTACTAACTAACTAACTAACTAACTAACTAACTAACTACTAACTAACTAACTAACTACTAACTAACTAACTAACTAACTAACTAACTAACTAACTAACTAACTAACTAAACTACTAACTAACTACTAACTAACTAACTAACTAACTAACTAACTACTAACTAACTAACTAACTAACTAACTAACTAACTAACTAACTAACTAACTAACTAACTAACTAACTAACTAACTAACTAACTAACTAACTAACTAACTAACTAACTAACTAACTAACTAACTAACTAACTAACTAACTAACTAACTAACTAACTAACTAACTACTAACTAACTAACTAACTAACTAACTAACTACTAACTAACTAACTAACTAACTAACTAACTAACTAACTAACTACTAACTAACTAAACTAACTAACTACTAACTAACTAACTAACTAACTAACTAACTACTAACTAACTACTAACTAACTAACTAACTAACTAACTAACTAACTAACTAACTAACTAACTAACTAACTAACTAACTAACTAACTAACTAACTAACTAACTAACTAACTAACTAACTAACTAACTAACTAACTAACTAACTAACTAACTAACTAACTAACTAACTAACTAACTAACTAACTAACTAACTAACTACTAACTAACTAACTAACTAACTAACTAACTACTAACTAACTAACTACTACTAACTAACTAACTAACTAACTAACTAACTAACTAACTAACTAACTAACTAACTAACTACTAACTAACTAACTACCACTAACTAACTACTAACTAACTAACTAACTAACTAACTAACTAACTAACTAACTATAACTAACTAACTAACTAACTAACTAACTAACTAACTAACTAACTAACTAACTAACTAACTAACTAACTAACTACTAACTAACTAACTAACTAACTAACTACTAACTAACTAACTAACTAACTACTAACTAACTAACTAACTAACTAACTACTAACTAACTAACTAACTACTAACTAACTAACTAACTACTACTAACTAACTAACTAACTAACTAACTAACTAACTAACTAACTAACTAACTAACTAACTAACTAACTAACTACTAACTAACTAACTAACTAACTAACTAACTAACTAACTAACTAACTAACTAACTAACTAACTAACTAACTAACTAACTAACTAACTAACTAACTAACTAACTAACTAACTAACTAACTAACTACTAACTAACTAACTAACTAACTACTAACTAACTAACTAACTAACTAACTAACTAACTAACTAACTAACTAACTAACTAACTAACTAACTAACTAACTACTACTAACTAACTAACTAACTAACTAACTACTAACTAACTAACTAACTAACTAACTAACTAACTAACTAACTAACTAACTACTAACTAACTAACTAACTAACTAACTAACTAACTACTAACTAACTAACTAACTAACTAACTAACTAACTAACTAACTAACTAACTAACTAACTAACTAACTACTAACTAACTAACTAACTAACTAACTAACTAACTAACTAACTAACTGCAAAGATTCACACTACGGAATTTAAAATTCAATTAAATTACAACTTTTAACGAATTACGACAGCATTTTAATTTACAAAAAAAAATATCAAATTAAGCAAATTAGCCACTGATTTTATAAACAGAAGTTATAAAATTAGTGGCTTAAAAATGGAAATAAGTTCTTGCGTTAAATGCAAACTCCACAAACAAACAAAATTAACACATTATTTGTATGCTTCCTTGAAGACTTTAAAAATTCGTTTCACCCTTCTCTTCTTACAAACTTTGGCAAAATGACTTGCAGAGCACAAATCTTTTTTTATAATGTCATAATAATATAAGCGACATCTTGTGTTGATTTCAATTATTTGCCCTTTTTTCCAAAAAAAAAAGTAAATAAGGAAAATCTTAAAATATGAAAAGAAAAAAGTCTGTCTTAATGCCAGCCAGTTTTTAATTTTATTTGAATATTTTTGCTCCAATTGTCAAGGGACAAATTAGTGGTTACATTTTAATAAAGCCCACCACCCACTCCATATCTCCTTCGTCTGGGGTTGGTAGCAATTGTTGTGGATATTTAGCTAGAGATTTTAAAAATTAAGACTTTTTCAAGTGAACAATTACGAACAGTGTTGAATATGAGAAACATTTAAAGTGGGAGAAAAAATTTAAGACAAACTCTTTTGAAGATGAAATTTTATACCTTTATTTTCTTATAGCAGCACACTGTGCCCTGCTATATTGTTTAGCTGTAAAAAGTAATAATAAAAAATAACAAATTATTCAAGCAGCATTTGCTCATAATTTTATTTTCTTTAATTTTATTTAACACCCGTTGCTTTATTGGTTTCATTTCTTACTAGTTTCTGTTGCTTCTCCTTAGATATTTTTGTTAATACGGTTAAACTTCCTTTGGTACTTAAATCCTATTATTTCCTCTTCTGGCCCAAAAAAAAATATATAAGTTCCCAAAAAGGGGGAGGGATTAAACTTCGGCAGTATTTTTAATAATTATTTTATTAATTCAAAATTATCATAATATTAGTTTATAGACTTTAACAGTTGAGAGACTTCAACGATAAACTGGATCTGTTCTAATACTACAAAATTGTGACATTCTTGCTGACATTATTAGCAATTTCACATGTGTGACATTTTATGTAACAATAGGTGGTTGCTTGGTGGATTAATAGTTGTAAAGGTGGTGGAATTGTTAAGTA